TTTTTTTTAAGACAGAGTCTTGCTCTGTTGCCTAGAATGGAGTGCATTGGCGTGATCTTGGCTTACTGCAACTTCCACCTCCTGGGTTCAAGTGATTCTCCTTCCTTAGCCTCCTGAGTAGCTGGGATTACAGACGCCCACCACCACATTTGGCTAACTTTTGTATTTTTAGTAGAGACAGGGTTTTGCCATGTTGGCCAGTCTGATCTTGATCTCTTGACCTTGTGATGCACCCTCCTCAGCCTCCCAGAGTGCAGGGATTACAGGCATGAGCCACCACGCCTGGCCTGCTTTGTTTAAATTTTAAATATTACTGTTCATGTGTTTTTTTACTTGCTGAAACCTCTCAAATTTCTGGACTGTGAATTTGATGTGGGAAAACTGTCTACCTTTGGTCACTTCTGTGTCTCTCCTGTATAGCCCAAAGTGCTAGCCTTAGAGCCAAACTGCCTGAGTTTACATGGCCACTCACAGATGTAAGATCTTGGGCCTCGGAATCCTCACCTGTAAAACAGGGGTGATAATAGTGCCTTCTTCTTGGCCTGTTGTGAGGATTCAAGTCTTTTATACATATAAAAGTACTAAGAGGCTGGGCACATTGGCTCCCACCTGTAATCCCAGCGCTTTGGGAGGCCAAGGTGGGTGGATCAGTTGAGGCCAGGAGTTCGAGACCAGCCTGGCCAACATGGTGAAACCCTGTCTTTACTAAAAATACAAAAATTAGCCAGGGATGGTGGCATGAGCCTGTAATCCCAGCTACTCAGGTGGCTGAGACAGGAGAATCACTTAAACCTGGAAGGCAGAGGTTGCAGTGAGCCAAGGTCTCACCACTGCGCTCCAGCCTGGGTAACAAAGCAAGACTCTATCTCAAAAAACAAACAAACGTAAGTATTTAGAAACTTATTCACAGGTCACCTTCTTACTACAGCATTCTCCCACTTCCTTTGCACTCCTAACCTCCTTATCTGCTTTATTCTTCTCTCTTGCACCTGTCATTACTTGGCATGTATTTGACATGTTTGTTCTGCTCCCCTTCTATGTCCACCATCCCCATCAGCAGCATAATGTGGCTGTAAAATGAGAGTAATGATGTAGAAATCTCTCGTAGGGTATTCCACAATGGCAGGAATTTGTCTCTCCTTCTCACCACTCTGTGCTCTCCACCTAGCATTGTATTGTCAATGGAATGTTGAAAGAACAAGTGTTAGCTGCTGGTGGATGGCATGGCCACAGAAGCTCAGTGAGTGGGTGTCGAATGCAGCCGAGCCTGAATGGGTAGCCAAGACGGCTGCACCATGTGGTGCCAGCTGGGGTGGGTGCCTCTGACTTGGGCCTTTTCTTTGCAGGTGTCACTCGAGAAGGTGCTTGGCATCACAGCCCAGAACAGCAGTGGCCTAACCTGTGACCCTGGCACAGGCCATGTGGCCTACCTGGCAGGGTAAGCAGATGAGGGCCTTGGCGTCTAATTGTTGCTAGGGAATTTGGAGCTCAGAGCCTGAAGCCATCGGTGAATCTCTCTGAGCCTCATCTTTTTCCCCTGTAGGATGTGGATAATGGGGTCTGCCTCCAACGACTGTGGAGAGGATTCCATAGCCCACTCTCTGTCTAGAACAGTGCCTGGCATGTAGTGAGTGCAGTGAAAGCCTTTATTATGACTACAGGGGGGAGGTGACAGCGATTCTGGGAAAGACAGGTGGTTAAAGTCCACACTGTGGTGTCAGGTAACCTGGATTTCTGTCACAGCTCTGTTGTATATGCTGCTCTCTGAGCCTCTTCCTCTGCCTCTGTAAAACAGCTAGTAACCCCTCTGCTTGCAATAGTTGAGAGGACTGAGGGAGATGCTACAGCTGTTCATTCCATAAATACTCATGTAGCCTGGCACTGTGCTGAGGACATCCCCCCTCTGGGTTTATTTCCTTATCTATAAATGGGCCTAAAGAGTCCTGACTTGACCTAATCTGGCAGTTGTGAGGATTTAAAACAATTACATCTCTCTCTCTCTCTCTCTTTTTTTTTTTTCTTTTTTTTTTTTTTTTGTTTTTTTTTTTTTTTTTTTTTTTTTTTTTTTGAGACAGGGTCTGGCTATATTGCCCAGGCTAGAGTACAGTGGTATGAATAACAGCTCACTACAGCCTCAACCTCCTGTGCTCAAGCTATCCCGCCATCTCTGCCTCCCGAGTAGCTGGGACTACAGGCACATGCCAGCACAGCCAGCCAATTTTTTTTTTAGTAGAGATGAGATCTCACTATATTGACCAGGCTGGTCTCAAACTCCTGGGCTCAAGTGATTCCCCCACTCCCGCTCCCACTGCCAAAGTGTTGGTATTATTGCCAGCCTAAGGTCTTTATTAGTCTAGGGTCTGACAGACATTACCTCAGAGGAAGTGTTGGTTTCAGTTTAAGAACATAGTTGTGTTAAGTGCCTTAGAATTTTCAGCAGAAACACCTGGAGGAGGGGGAGGAGGAGACCAAAGAGAACCATCTATGCAGAGGGTGCTTGTTTATTTGTGGGCTTTTCTGGTGGGAATAGAATTATCCCAGGACCCCAACACTCCCTCCAGTTGAAGCGTATTTTCCTCTTTCTCCCCAGCTGTGTGGTGGTGATTTTGGACCCCAAGGAGAACAAGCAGCAGCACATCTTTAACACCGCCAGGTAGGCTCAGGCCTGGGCGGTTGGGGTAGGGGCAAGGTTGAGACAAAGGCTCAGCATGCCTCCCCTCCCCCACACAGCCTGGAGGTACTCACGGGTAGGTGCTTACTCGTTCACTCACGTCTTGGCTCAGCAGCATTGCCAGGTGTCTGCTCTGTGCTGGGTGCTGTTCTGTGTGCTGGGGACACAGCAGTGACCAGAGGAGACAAGAATCTGCTGGCTAGAGCGAGACAGACTGTAAACCAATCAGCTAATTCCTGGCTGATCACAATCAGTGTTATGGAGGAAATGATGGGGGATGTCTTCGGGCAGGTTTGTGGGCAGAGAATAGGAGGAAAGCCATATCAGAGGGCTCAGGGAACGCCGCCCCGAGTCTGAGACCTGAAGGAAGTGAGAGGTGACCCATAAGAAGCTGTAGGAAGAGCGCTTCAGGCAGAGGGCACGGCAAAGGCAAAGGCCCTGCAGTGGTTAAGAATCTTGGGCGGTTTAGAAGTGGCCAGGGATCCGGGTACCTGGAGAAAGGAAGCAGGCGAGATGAGGTTGCAACAGGCAGAAGCCACATCCCCCAGGCCTTGTAGCCTTGGGAAGGGGCTGGATAGCATGCTGAGTACAGAGAGCAGCCACAGGAGGGCGCCACAGGCCAGGGATGTGCTTTTCACCTCCAGCCCTCCAGCAGCTCTATTCCCTGCTTTGCTTTTCTCCACAAAATTTGCTCCCTTCTGATATGTTGTTCAATTTCCTCACTGATGGTATTCACTGTGGGTCTCCCTTCATTAGTATGAGTGCTCTGAGAGCAGGGACTTTCTCTGAGTTCATTTCTGTGTCCCTAGCACCAAAGAGCAGTGTCTGGCACATTGATGGCCGTTTCCTTTTTTTTTTTAAAGAGACGGGGTTTCACCCTGTTGGCCAGGATGGTCTTGATCTTTTGACCTCATGATCCACCCCCCTCGGCCTCCCAAGGTGCTGGGATTATAGGCGTGAGCCACCGCGCCCGGCCTAATGGACATTTCCTAGGAGAAAGACTGAACGTGATTTGGGTTTTAGAAAGATCCCTTCAGCTGTAAATTTATTGGGAAAGAGAGCCCCTGCTCCTCTGCCTTGGGGCTAAGTGATCTCTGTGTTACCCTGGGGATATGGTCCCAATAGGGCTGTGACCTTTGGAAGGCACCCCATGTCCCTCCTTAGCATAGCTTAGGCTCAGCTCCTTTGGCCCAGTTCTCCAGGTGGTTGGATAAGGAGTGCGTTTTCATTTGCCCTTATGGTTCCTACTATATGATCCTTAAGCTACATCAGGTTCTTGTTATATGGCAGAATTGCATTCCCTCTTGAAAGTGGCTTTGGACCTTTTGTTCCTAACTGTGGGTTCTGTCACTGGTGATAAGGGCAGAGCTGGGTTCCAGTCTCCTGGCTCAAGCGTCTGTTCACTATGGAATCTCAGGTGAGACACTTCTTTCAGATCCTTGGTCACCACTGGAAATAAAATAGCTACCTTCAATTGGGAGAGCAAACCAGAGTCGCATAGACTTGCCAGACACAGTGTGTTTTAAAGGTTGGATGAGTGGACATTTTAAGTTTTTTAATACAAAAATCCAAATGTCTCTCTTGTTTGGAAAAGTGAGAAATACTGGCCTCTGGGGCCCACATTCCCCTGTGACAGTGATGGGCTGAGCTTAGTGACATTTGTCAGGCTCCTGTGGCCAGTTCCTCTCACCTGTAGGCAGTGGAGTGGGTAGCCCGGATCTGTAGTAGGTGGCATACAGGTGCCCACCCTTGACCACCTGTGGGTCTATGTTAGGAAGTGGTGTGGCCAGTGTGGCGGTTTTCACCCTGACTGCATATCAGGATCACCTAGCCCATGGGCCTCACCCCAAGAGAAAGGCAAATCAGTTGATCTGGGGTGAAACCTGGGCATTGGCAGTTTTTAGACTTTTTGTATTGAAATAATTTCAGACTTCTAATAGTACAAAGACCTTTTCCATATTTCCCAAATGTTAGCTTTTTTTTTTTTTAATTTTCCCCCGCCGTCTCACTCTGTCACCCAGCCTGGAGTGCAATGGCATAATCTTAGGTCACTGCAAGCTCCGTCTTCCAGGTTCAAGCGATTCTCATGCCTCAGTCTTCTGAGTAGCTGGGACTACAGGCGTGCGCCACCATGCCTGGCTAATTTTCTGTGTTTTAGTGGAGACAGGGTTCACCATGTTGCCAAATGTGGTCTTGAACTCCTGAGCTTAGGCAATGTGCCCTCCTTGGCCTTCCAAAGTGCTAGGATTACAGGTGTGAGCCACCACACCTGGCCAAATGTTGTCTATATACATATTCAGTTGTTCTGAACTATGAGAATCAGTTGTAGACATAATGCCCTTATATATCTAAATACTTCAGGCTGGGTGCGATGGCTCACGCCTGTAATCTTAGCACTTTGGGAGGCCTTGGAGGCAGGAGAATTACTTGAGGTCAGGAGTTTGAGACCAGCCTGGGCAACGTAGGAAAACCCTGTCTCTACTAAAAATACAAAAATTAGCCAGGGGTGGTGGTGGGTGCCTGTAATCTCAGCTACTCAGGAGGCTGAGGCAGGAGAATCGCTTGAACCTGGGAGGCAGAGGTTGCAGTGAGCCAATATCGCTTACTGCACTCCAGCCTGGGCAACAGAGCAAGACTTCATCTCAAAAAAAGTAAAGTAAAATAAAATAAATACTTCAATGTGTATTTCCTACAAAAAAAAAAAAAAAGTGACAGTCCTTCTAAACTGTTATACATCCAGCAAAATCAGGAAATGAAAATGGGTGCATCACTCCCATACGCTCCACAGATGGCTCCATTCAGGAGTCAGCCATTGTCCCAGGATTGTTGTTTATGATCAGAGGATTCTGTGTAGAACCACACATTGCATTGAGTTGTCACCTCAGTCTCCTTCAGGCTGACATGGCTCTTCTGTCTTTTCTTGACTTTTAGGAACTTGATGCTTTTGAGGATTGTAGACATGGTATTTTGTAGAGTGTCCCAGCATTTGGGTTTGTCCAATGCCTCCTCCCAGGCAGACTTAGCTTCTACATCTTTGGCAGAAATAGACCAGAAGGGGTACTGTGTTTTCTTGGTGCCTCCTCTCAGGAGGTCTCCCAAGACCGGTTTTGTTGACTGGGAGCACTTTGCCAAGATGGTGCCTGCCAGATTCCTCCACTTCAAAGCCTCTCTTTTTCCCTTTGTGACTAGCAAGTATTCTGGGGACATCTTTTCTGAGACTGAGCAAATGTTACCCTGTTCCTCACCAAACTTTCACTCAACTAATCTTAGGCTTTGACATGTTTCAGATGCTCCCCAGGGAATTCCATTTTGCAGCCAGGACTGAGAACTACTGGCTTCAAGTTCGGGGCTCTGCCCTGTCTGGTTAGGTAACCGCGGGCAGAAGACTTCCCTTTGTTGCAGTCACGTCATCTGCAAAGTTGGCTTACAAGAGCCCTGACTCCGTGAAGCATGCATGAGGAATCAGTGCAGTGATAGCCACACAGCATTTGTCAAAGGGCCAGGCACAAGGCCAGGGCATGCGACAAGTTAGGGGCAGCTACAGACAACAGAAACCCCTCACAGCGTAGCTCAAAACCCAAGGGCATGCTCTTCCTGCATGTCCAGAGGTGGGCAGCCCAGGGGCAGTGTCTCTGATCACCAGGGACCCCACTCCTTTTTTTTTTTTTGGACACAGAGTCTTGCTCTGTTCTTGCTCTGCACTCCATTCTGGAGTGCAGTGGCGCAATCTGCAACCTCCACCTCCCAGGTGCAAGCGATTCTCCTGCCTCAGCCTCCTAAGTAGCTGGGACTACAGGCACATGCCACCACACCTGGCTACTTTTTTTTTTTTCCTGGAGGCAGAGTCTCTGTCACACAGACGGGAGTGTAATGACATAATCTCATCTCACTGCAACCTTTGCCTCCCGTGTTCAAATGATTCTCCTGCCTCAGCCTCCCAAGTAGCTGGGATTACAGGCACCCACCACCACGCCCAGCTTTTTTTCTATTTTTAGTAGAGATGGGGTTTCACCATGTTGACCAGGCTGGTCACAAACTCCTGACCACCCACCACTACCTCCCAAAGTGCTGGAATTACAGGCATGAGGCACCGTGCCTGGCCCCATTCCTTCTCTCCTGCTGCTCTACCTCATTTATTGTGAGGCTTCTGGTCTTGAAGTCGATTCATGGCCCAAGATGGAGTTCTGGCTGTTGTGTGCTTATTTCAGGAGGGAAACTGGTAGGAAGCAGGGCAAAGGGTTCCCTTTGAGGAGCATTTCGGGAAGTCCACACAGCATGTCAGTTTATTTCTCATTGGCCAGACTAAGTCATGTAGCTATATATGTGTAGCTGCAAGCATAAAAGTGGGCTTATGTCAGTGAGGAAAGAGAGGCGAGTGGATATCCAGGAGGCAGCTTGCCCTGTTTGCTGGAGTAAGGAGCCACGGGAAGCCTGGGAAGAAGCAGGTTGACTTGATGATGAATACTCCTTAAAGTTGCCAGAGTCTCACTTAGAGGCATTTACTTAGTTATCTGCGCGCCAATTTACCATCTCACGTAGGGAGACAATTATTAGATTGTTAAGGAACAAAGGTAAAAAGATTAAAAGAGAGGAGAAGAAGGAAACCATACTGTCTGGGAATGGTGAATCTTGCTGCCAAAAACATGCCAGCTGGCCTGCTCATTCAGTCCTTGTGCAGGCTAGCTAGGAGTATCAGAAACATTTTGGTTGTTTATGGACTTTCCAGAACACCTTCAGCATTTAGCAGTGGAGCACATGCTGCAAGGCTCCCTTGATATGATGCCTGCCAGGGTCCTCCCATCAGCACCACCCCTTGAGTTAGGCCAGGCCTGTAGCATTTCCTGCATCTCTATTTCCCCGTGTTATAGGGTGGGTGGGATCTTAGGGTACCCACTGTGGTAGAGGGAGAAGAAAGCAGAGTCCTCATACAGTGTCTATCCCATTTGGGTTTGGTGTCTCAGGGTGAAAGGGGCCTTTGCTTTTACCCCCATTTCTCTGTGTGCTGTTCTGGACACGCCAGCAGCACTGGCTTTGTGGGAGCTGCTTGAGCTCACCCCTCCTGGCCTCTTCCAAGGCTTGGGAGGCAGGAGAGGGTAGAGTGCTATGGGAGTCACCAGGATGGGGTCTGGCTGCCCACCCTCAGTGGAACCAGTGATCAGCTCTTTTCCTTATCCGCAGGAAGTCTCTGAGCGCTCTGGCCTTCTCCCCTGATGGGAAGTACATAGTGACAGGGGAGGTGAGTCATGATGATGATTGAGTGGGAGTGGGGGGCTGGGGGGACTTGGGGGTCATTCCTTCTGCTCCCAGCAGGCCTGGGAGTCGCTGGAATAGCTCCTTTCTGGGCCAGAACAGCCCAGTGGCAGATGAGGGAGGTGGCTTTTGGGCACAGCCTGTGGCAATGCCATCTTCAGCCTTGACAACCCTTCTAGCCCTGCCTGGTACAGAGTCTAGCAGCAGTAATGACCCCACTTTTCCTAGAATGGGCACAGGCCTGCCGTGCGCATCTGGGATGTGGAGGAGAAAAATCAGGTGGCGGAGATGCTAGGCCACAAGTATGGTGTGGCCTGTGTGGCCTTCTCACCCAATATGAAGCACATTGTGTCCATGGGCTACCAACATGACATGGTGCTCAACGTCTGGGACTGGAAGGTAAGAGCCGACCAGTGGGCATGTGGCAGGCAGCCGGCTGCCAGAGCATCCTGTGTCTCAGGCACTGGGAGAGCTATATAAGAGGATGTAGTAAAATGCCCACTCACCCAACAGATGACAGCTATTGAGCACCTGCTGCATGCTGATCCCTTATTGTAGGGCACAAGACAGGCTCCCAACTAGAAGAGTTATAAATATTTTTGTATTGACCAGCTGTGACCTTAGGCGAGTGACTTAACATCTCTGTGAGTCTGTTTCCTCCTTTGTTAGATAGATATAGTAGTACTTACCTTGTTGAGTTGTGAGACTTTAGTGAGTTGATAAGCACTGGAAGGCCAGGCTTTGGAACAGCTGTGGAGCCGGCAAAAGTGGGTACGAAGTCCTGGCTCTGCCCATAGCCCACTGTGTGACCTTGAGTTGAGCACATGACATCTCCACCTCTGAGCCTGGCAGCATTGCGGAGACGTACCTCACTCGTGGGGCCACTGACAGAATTCTGTGGGTTATCCTGTGAAGGACTCAGGGCAGGGCCCAGAGCAAGAGCCCTATCTGTGACAGCCATAGGTTGTGTCATCCTTACATCCCAGCCATGACTGTCCTCAATGCTGTGGGGACAGACACTATGGGTTGCAGAGCTTAGACCCTTGGGGAGAATTCTGGAACATACTCTCACATGGGGACCTTTCCAAGCCTCTGTCCCCTCCTTTGTTGATGAGGAATGAGCAGAGTGCCCCACATAGGTTTCCCCATACAGCAGCTCTCTGTAGGGTCCCAGGAAGACAGACTTGAAGCGGGGATGAGCAGGGAGGTCCAGGCTGAGAGCAAGGGCACAGATAGTTCAATGGAATGAGTGCTGGCATGAGCTTCTCTGTGCTTATTTTTCCAGAAAGACATCGTGGTGGCCTCCAACAAGGTATCTTGTAGAGTCATTGCTCTCTCCTTCTCAGAGGACAGCAGCTATTTTGTCACTGTTGGGAACCGGCATGTGAGGTTCTGGTTCTTGGAAGTCTCCACTGAGACAAAGGTGAGTTTCTGTCCCTGCCCTTTCAGCCAGGCCCTGAGGGAGTCACCATCGGTGGCAGCATGGGCTCCTGTTTCTCCCTGAGATTTGGGGGCAGTGGCCTCGGACCATTTGGCATCTCAGGGGCCCAGCTGCTGCTTCTGGGCCTGCTCTCAGGGTGCTAATGCACAGGCCCTGCTGAGAATCCCCTGACCCTGGGACCGGCTCTCATTCTTGGACTGCTGCTGTCCAGCCCCTCTAACCAGAGGGGCAGGGCTCTACTGTTTTCTTTCCTTCTCCTCCATTTGGAAGAGCTTCTTAGGGTTCTCCTGTTTAGTTGTGTCCTATCATCTGGTCATGCAGGGCCCATTGTGGCCCTGTTGGGGCTCAGCTGTGTGGACAGTATCTCACTATGCCCTCTGTGTCTCCAGGTGACGGGCACAGTACCCCTTGTAGGGCGCTCAGGCATACTGGGCGAGCTGCACAACAACATTTTCTGTGGTGTGGCCTGCGGTCGGGGCCGGATGGCGGGCAGTACCTTCTGTGTGTCCTACTCAGGCCTCCTCTGCCAGTTCAATGAGAAGAGGGTTCTGGAGAAGTGGATCAACCTGAAGGTACCACCCTCCCTCTCTGCCATCAGTGTGGCAGAGTCTTTGCTGTTCATCAGTATTGACCACACAGGTTCTGCTTATATGACTAGTGGAGAATGACTCCCCCTCTGAGCTTCGGTTCCCCATTTGTAAAATGGGAGTACTGCTGCCCTCCCCACAGAGCTGATAAGGAAGTCAGGTGAGATAATATTGGCAAGGCAGGGAGCACAGTGCTTGGTACCCTGAAATGGGCTCAAGGTGACAGCTGTTTTCCCATCACTATTTGATTTGCTTCACATTTCTCTTCTCCGTTGAGCACTCTTGCCTGGTAGAGGACTGCATTTAAAAAAAAAGATCAGAGATGCCATTGATTTAATAATATTTTAGTCAAAAAAGACTACGCAAAATACACAAACTTTTATTTATATTTAGTTTTATTTTTTTGAAAAGGAGTCTCACTCTGTTGCCCAGGCTGGAGTGCAGTGGCGCAATCTTGGCTTACTACAACCTCCGCCTCCCAGGTTCAAGCGATTCTCCTGCCTCAGCCTCCCAAGCAGCCTGGATTACAGGAACCTGTCACCACCCTCGGCTAATTTTTGTATTTTTAGTAGAGACAGGATTTTACTATGTTGGCCAGGCTGGTCTCGAACTACTGACCTTTGGTGATCCACTCGTCTTGGCCTCCTGAAGTGCTGGAATTATAGGCATGAGCCACTGTGCCTGGCCATAAACTTTTAAACTAAAGTGTGATCTATCGATACATTGCAGAGCTCCTTTCCTTTAGTATCTGAAGGTTTGAGTCCAAGCTGTTTTCCCATCTGGAATCAGTTGCCCATTTGGCTATCAGCTGGAGCATTGTGGTTTTCTCTCCTGTTCCTGTCCTGCCTTTGTGACTCACTCTGGAGATCACCTTTGCGGTTAATGGCATGTGGAGAGGTTCCAAGTTTTATCTCTTTCCTAGTTGGTTAAACCTCATTTTGTCTTTTTCAACCAAGTAAAAAGCTCTCAATAGATAGATGTTTAATTCCTCAGCACTAAATGACCCATAAATTAAGTCCTTGTAGATTTGGAAAAACTCCTTTAAGCTGTGTCTAGAGTTCTAGCATTTCCTGATAGAATAGACAGCTCTTCCTAGATACTGTAACTTTTTTCTGTACCGCTTTGGAGTATAGTCTTTATGAAGTTGTTTGGAAGCAATAGGGAATAAGATTTACGCCTAAAATTCAACCCTGTTACTGCAGGTGACTTACTGAAGTTGCAGTCTGCTGAACAGATATTTTCCATACATAGCTACATTTCCCCGTAGACAGCAGTGACAACTCTGTCCCTGTTCATGCTTCTGTCTGACTGCTGGCCCATGTCTTTCAATAGTGGCCATATGTTATTCAAAAATCTTAAAATGTTCTAAAATGGATGTGTTGGACCCAAGGAACTATAAGTCTTCTCTGGAGGCCTAAGGCTGCTCTGTCAGTCCCCATGTCCCTGGGCCAGACCACGTCAAGCACCAAATCCACTGGGGTCCCCTTTGCCTCCACAGGTCTCCCTGTCTTCCTGCCTCTGTGTCAGCCAGGAGCTCATCTTCTGTGGCTGCACAGATGGGATAGTCCGCATCTTCCAGGCCCACAGCCTGCACTACCTTGCCAACCTGCCCAAGCCGCACTACCTTGGGGTAGACGTGGCACAAGGACTGGAGCCCAGGTACTGCCCTGCAGGGAGAGGGAACTGGAGGGGCCCACCCAGAGTCTCTCTGCTGGCATTCATCCATGCTTCCAGATCCATCCATCTGTCTGTCCATTCCACAAATACCCATCATGACTCTCAGCCCTGGGTATTACAAAGCAGAAAAGTCCTTGCCTTCTGAGGCAAGCTTCACAGTGAGAAGTGAGGCTGGGTGGGGGAAGAAACAGTCAGTGAGAAAACAAAGGAATAAACAATCTAATTTCAGATAGCAGTCAGTGTGGTGAAGAACAGTGTGGAGCAGGTGTGAATGTGGTGGAGTGTTGCCAGCCACATGGCTGACCCCTACTAAGCAGCTGCTAAGTGCCAGCCCTGGGCTGGAAGCAGGACACACCTATAATGAAGCAGCAAAATCTCTGCCTCTGTGCAGTCTAGCAGGGGCCTCAATGATAAGCAAGTACACAAAAAAGATCATTTCAGGTCGGCATCAGTGCTTTGGGAGTGCCCAGGGTGGACTGTGCTGATTGGGTGTCTGGTGAGAAGGAGCTGCATATAGGTGTGTGGAGAGCTGGGTCCCAGCAGTAGAGGTGACCTCCCACTGTGCTTGTCATGTTGCAGGAATAGTAAGGGACTGCGTGGACAGAGCCCAGTATGCCAGGGGACGATAGTGGGAGACGAAGCCAGCATGGGGCGCCTGTAGTCTATCCTCAGGTCAGTGGGCAGCTGCTGGGGGTTTCAGGCGTTGGAGTAAGTGACCAGGCCTTACATGTTAGGTCCCTTGGCTGCTGTGTCGAGAGTGGATGGAAGCACTAGGCTGTGGCTCGTCTTCCCCTTTGTTGCAAGTCTGTTTATGGTATCAGGGGTTACCTAACCAGCGGGTGCCGGGTGCCTAGGTCTGCCTCTTTGTGGATTTCTGGATGCTAACTCTTGGGTGCCTTTTCCACAACAGGGCCTGAACAGGGGAACTGGGTGTCATGCAGGAAAGGAGGGGTGAGCAACCCACAGGCAGTGTTGCGTTGAGTAGCAGGGTTGGCAACTCTGCTGCCTTCTGTTGTGCTGTGTGACCTCAGGAAGGTGACTATACCTTCCTGTGCTTCCGTTTTCTCATGGGTAAAATATAGTACCTATCTCTTATCATGGTTGTGAGAATTTATTGCAGCTAAAACGCTTGGCTAGCACAGTATAAATGCTCAGTAAACTGTAGCCTTTGTAGGGAGACCCCAGGCCAAGGGGCAGCTCCCCAGCCTACTTAGGACACGGGCTTTTTGATCATGCTTTGGTGAGGCCAGGAAGAGGTGGGGCCTGAGATACATGCTTATTATCTTTCTATGCTTAGAGAGCAGGAGCTTGGATTGGGTGAAATGATGGGAGAGAAATGTTCATAGGAATCAAAAACCCGATTGCTCTCAGGGCCAGGCAGAAGCTTCCAGTTTGTATCCTCTACATGAGAAGCAAAGCAGAGGAAGAGGGAAAAGGGAGAAGTGGAATTGGAGCAGGAGAGATGCATGGCCACAAACACCATGAGGGATGACATTGCTGGGGAGGCAGCTCCACTGTCACTAGAGTTGGCTGTCACTACTCAGTGACAGTGATGACGATTGATGACCCATGTGGTCTTGTTAGCTTCCTCTTCCACAGGAAGGCAGAAGCAGTCTACCCAGATACAGTGGCACTGACCTTCGACCCCATCCACCAGTGGCTGTCCTGCGTGTATAAGGACCACAGCATTTACATTTGGGACATCAAAGACATCAACAGAGTGGGCAAGGTGTGGTCAGAGCTCTTCCACAGCTCTTACGTCTGGAATGTGGAGGTGAGCCCCTCCCTCTCTCTGCCCCTGCTCAGCCTCTGCACAGTTCCCCACAGAGTTTGGGAACCCATTCAGTAATTCCTTCAGAAGATACTCATTGATCCCATCTTATGCATCAGGCCCTATCCTAGGTGCTGAGGACACAGACAAAAACCCTGTCCTTAATGAGCTCACATTTGGGCGGGAAAGGAAACCTAGAAACATCATCAGTGAATAACATGCCAAGCAGCAGTAACTCTCTGAAGAAAAATGAGGTGGGGAAGGGAAATCCAGATGGTATTCCAGAGAGGAGCAAGATCAGGGAAGGCCTCCCTGAGGACATGACATTTGAACTGGGACCTGCAGGAAGTTGAGGAGTAAGACCTACAACTGCTGGGGAGAACCACAAGCAGAGGCCCTACGGGAGGAACATGCACTGCACAGAGAGCTTTGCTGTAGAGGATGTTTATGTATTTCACTGTTTTTTTTTGTGTTTTTTTTTTTTAAGTTGAAGGCGGGGCATGGTGGCTCACACCTGTAATCCCAGCACTTTGGGAGGCTAAGGCGGGAGGATCACTTGAACCCAGGAGATTGAGACCAGCTTGGGCAACAGAAGATCCCGTCTCTACAAATAATTTTTTTTTTTTTTTTGAGACGGAGTTTCGCTCTTGTTACCCAGGCTGGAGTGCAATGGCGCGATCTCGGCTCACCGCAACCTCCGCCTCCCGGGTTCAGGCAATTCTCCTGCCTCAGCCTCTGGAGTAGCTGGGATTACAGGCACGCGCCACCATGCCCAGCTAATTTTTTGTATTTTTACTAGAGACGGGGTTTCACCATGTTGACCACGATGGTCTCGATCTCTTGACCTCGTGACCCACCCGCCTCGGCCTCCCAAAGTGCTGGGATTACAGGCTTGAGCCACTGCGCCTGGCCCTACAAATAATTTTTTAAAATTAGCTAGTCAGGCCTGGTGCAATGTAATCCCAGCACTTTGGGAGGCCGAGGTGGGTGGATCACGAGGTCAGGAGTTTAAGACCAGCCTGGCCAAGATGGTGAAACCCCATCTCTACTAATAATGCAAGAAATTGGCCGGGCTTGGTGGCTCACACTTGTAATCCCAGCACTTTGAGAGGCTGAGGTGGGCAGATGACAAGGTCAAGAGATCGAGGCCATCCAGGCCAACATGATGAAGCCCCATCTCTACTAAAAATACAAAAATTAGCTGGGCGTGGTGGTACGTGCCTGTAGTCCCAGCTACTCAGAAAGCTGAGGCAGGAGAATTGATTGAACCCAGGAGGCGGAGGTTGCAGTGAGCTGAGATCCAGCCACTGCACTCCATCGTGGGTGACAGAGTGAGACCCTGTCTCAAAAAAAAAAAGGCCTGCACCCAGTGGCTCACACCTGTAATCCCAGCACTTTGGGAGGCTGAGGCAGGCAGATCACCTGAAGTCAGGAGTTCGTGACCAGCCTGACCAACATGGAAAAACCCTGTCTCTACTAAAAATACAAAATTAGCTGGACGGGTTGGCACATGCCTGTAATCCCAGTTACTCAGGAGGCTGAGGCCGGAGAATTGCTTGAACCCAGGAGGCAGAGGTTGCAGTGAGCCAAGATTGCACCATTGCACCCTAGCCCGGGCAACAAGCAAAAACTCCATCTCAAAAAAAAAAAGAAAAGTCATGTATATTTTTTTAGTACAAATTGGGATTTCAGAATCACAGGTTGAGTGTTAGGGATCCTCATAGCTATTGAGTTGTTGCTTCCAAAGCCTGGTTCTTAAGGACACAGGGGGTGGTGGAATTCGAATATCCCCAGTAACTCATTTGCTTTTTCCCACATTATACATGCGACAATCTGAAAATGACAACTATTCAATTCTGAAGACAGTTAAAACAATTGTATTGTGTATGTTCTCTCTATTCTGTCCAATTTTAAAAATAATTTTACTATATCTACAGGATCTGAATATGTAGCTATGATATACTATATTCTCTCCCTTTCGACCCCCATTTATTTTGGAATAGGGAATTTTATATGTGTGTGTGTGGGGGGGTAAAATATACATGACATAAAATTTACCATTTCATCTATTTTAAAGTGTACTATTCGGTGGCATTTAGTACACTTAACAATGTCATGCAGCCATCATTACTCTAGTTTCAGAACATTTTCATCACCCACCCCTCCCCCAAAAAAATCCTGTATCTGTTAAGCAGTCCTCCCCATTTCCCACTCCTCCCATCCCTGGAAATGACTAATCTGTTTCTGCCTTTATGGACTTGCCTGTTCTGAATATTTCTTTTCTTTCTTTTTTTTTTTTTTTTTTTTTTTTTTTTTTTTTTTTTTTTTTTTTTTNATGGGGTCTTGCTCGTCACCCAGGCTGGAATGCAGTGACGCAATCTTGGCCTACTGCAACCTCCACCTCCCAGGTTCAAGCAATTCGCATGCCTCAGTCTCTAGAATAGCTGGGATTACAGGCACATGCCACCATACCTGGTGAATTTTTTGTATTTTAGTAGAGACGGTTTCACCATGTTGCCCAGGCTGGTCTCGAACTCCTGTGCTCAGGCAGTGCACCTACCTCAGCTTCCCAAAGTGCTAGGATTATAGGCATGAGCCACCATGCTGACCTGAATATTTCTTATAAATGAAATCATAGAATATGTGGGTTTTTGTGCCTGGCTTTAAGTTAGCATCATATTTTCAAGATTCATCCATGTTGTAGCATATGTTAGTACTTCATTCCTTTTTATGGCTGAATAATATTTCATTGTATGGAGAGCACCTTTTGTTTTCTGTTCATCAGTCAACAGCCACTTGGTTTGTTTCTACCTTACGGCTATTGCGAATACTACTGCTATGAACATACAAGTACAAACTTTTTTTTTTTTGCGATGGAGCCTCACTGTCTGACAGGCTGGAGTGCAGTGGTGCGATCTCCACTCACTGCAACCTCAGGCTCCTAGATTCAAGTGATTCCTCTGCGTCAGCCTCCAGAGTAGCGTGCTACCAAGCCTGGCTAATTTGTATTTTTATTATTTTTATTATTATTATTTTTTGAGGTAGAGTCTCCCTCTGTCACCAGGCTGGAGTACAGTGGTGTGATTTCGGCTCACTGCAACCTCCGCCTCCTGAGTTTAAGCAATTCTTCTGCCTCAACCTCCTGAGTAGCTGGGATTACAGGCCTGTACCACCACACCCAGCTAATTTTTGTATTTTTAGTAGAGACGGAGTTTCACCATGTTGGCCAGGATGGTCTCGATCTCTTGACCTCATGATCCACCCACCTTGGCCTCCCAAAGTGCTGGGATTACAGGCGTGAGCCACCATGCCCAGCCTAATTTTTGTATTTTTAATGGAGACAGGGTTGCACCGTGTTGGCCAGGCTGGTCTTGAACTCCACCTCAAGTGATCCACCCACCTCGGCTTCCCAAAGTACAGGGATCATAGGCGTGAGCCACCACACCCGACCTTCTAGTTCTTTCTTTAAGTTATATCACTTTGTTTCTGAGTTTTTCTAGGTTGGTTTTCATATCTTGGATCATTTTTAAAATATCTTTTACCTTCTTTTGAAATAGTAAGTTATAGTTTTTATCTTTTTTGTGAAAATATGCTTCTGGTGTGCTTTTTTTTTTTTTTAAGAGTAACTATTGGATTTGACCTCGGTCCTTTCCTGTTGTTCATTTTTATGTGATACCAGTTTTTCTGAAATTTTAGAAGTTGGTGTGCTTCAGGACAGTTTTTCCAACTTCACAAGAAAGAACTCTTGTCTTCTGTTTTTTTGGGGGGACAGGTGGCCTGTTTTGTTTTGTTTTGTTTCTTTTTCAGAGAGTCTCTCACTCTGTTGCCTAGGCTAGACTTCAGTGGCACGATCACAGCTCACTGAAGCTTCAACCTCATAGGCACAAGCAATTCTCCTGCCTCAGCCTTCTGAGTAGCTGGGACCATAGGCATGCACTACAATGCCCGGCTAATTTTTTATTTTTGGCAGAGATGCGGTCTCACTGTGCTGCCCAGGCTTGTCTCAAACTTGGGCTCAAGCAATCCTCCTGCCTCAGCCTCCCAAAGTGCTAGTATTACATGCTTGTGTTATTTTTATAGTGTATGTCAGCCTGCTTTCTGATACTTCCTTTTTATGGTCCTCTTTATGTGTTATGTCTCTCCTTTAATCTGAATCTCCTGTTTATTTCTTCTGTCCCTGTTGTTATTGATCAATTTTGTTTCTACTCTCAGCAGTTTCTCTTCAGCGTGGGGCTTTGTCCTGAAGGGGAGCCCTGGCAGCTCAGTTTTGAGAGTTCACAGGATTTTCTCCGGTCCCTTTAGGCCTTACCCCTTGCATGCAAGCATTGCTGGGGTGGATGAAACCCACCCAGTTCAGCTGCTGTTCATTTTGGCCCAGCGTGCTTTCCAATGAACACCTGTTGGCTGCTTTGGAATTACCCTGCTGCTGGGTCTGTCAGATGCCTCGTTGCCTCTCTGTCTCCCACATGCATGCTGATGTAGGTCTTGTGACTGGTGGTGGTTTGTCCCACACACTTGTATTTTGAGGGTGATGGGAATATTTTGTTACTGAGTTTTGCTATAACTGTTGTCTGTAAGTTTGGGTTTTGCTGTCTGGTTGATGTTTTTCTTATGTGGTGATTTTGGGAGACTAAAAAAATTAATGCCACTACTGTCATCTTCCTGGTTCTCAGTCTTCCATATTTTGAAATCTCTTTATATGGTGGCTGTTTGTCCCCTTCAGCTTCGTTTTAAATATCTTTGGTTCTGTCTTTCAGTTCACTTAATTTTCTCCTAAATTATATCTAATCTTTGTTTTTTAGTATGTTTTTTATTAATTTCTAGAAGCAGCTCTATTTTGTTCTTTTTCAGCCCTGCTTGGTTAATCTTTATAATTTCTGGTTGGCTGCATACTTTTAATCTTGTCAAAATTATCTTTTAGGCTGGGCACGTTGGCTCACGCCTGTAATCCCACTACTTTGGGAGGCTGAGGTGGGCAGATCACAATGTGGTCAAGAGTTCGAGACCAGCCTGGCCAATGTGGTGAAACCCCGTCTCTACTAATAATACAAAAATTAGCTGGGTGTGGTGGCACACACCTGTAGTCCCAGCTACTCAGGAGGCTGAGGCAGAAGAATCGCTTGAATCTGGGAGATGGAGGTTGCAGTGAGCTGAGATGTCGCCTTGGCCTCCAAAGTGCTTGGATTACAGGCGTGAGCCACCGCGCCCAACCAGTCTTTTAGTTCTTTAAACATATTAGACATAGTTATATTCTGTCTGATAATTCCAATTTGGGTGTTTTTGTTTTGTTTTTGGTTTTGGTTTTTCTGTCTGTTTTGAGACATAGTCTCATATGTTGGCCAGACTGGACTTAAACACCTGGCCTCAGGCTATCCTCCTGCCTCAGCCTCTCAAGTAGCTGGGACTACAGGCATGCGTCACCTCCCCTGACTTAATAATTTGAGTATTTGAAGCCTTGCTAGACTGTTGCTTCTGGTGCTTCTTGCTCATGGTACGTTGTTTTCTTTTGTGCTTAGTGATGTTTGACTGAGTTCTGCATTTCCCTTGGAAGTTTATTTGAGGTTATGTGTTAAGGCCTAAGCTGAAGGTGGGACATGTACAATATATGGTAGCATTTTGTGTCCTTTTTTTTTTGCCTTGTTAATTTTTAGCATAGAAAGTATTACATGATACCTGTTTATCTGTAACTTACTTTTTTAAATTTTTTTTTCACGAAAATTCAACAGTAAGCCATAATGCTGTCATTGAGTCACCCTTTGCCTTGTCCTCTGGGAACTATAGGTATATCCTGAGTTTGAAGACCAGAGAGCTTGTTTGCCATCAGGATCCTTTCTGACTTGCTCTTCAGACAACACCATTCGCTTCTGGAACTTGGACAGCAGCCCTGACTCTCACTGGCAGAAAAACATCTTCAGCAATGTGAGTGGTTTCCTTTGTGAGCCATCTTTTTTTTTTTTTGGAAACAGAGTCTTGCTCTGTCACCCAGGCTAGAGTGCAGTGGCGCGATCTCAGCTTACTGCAACCTTCACCTTCCGGGTTCAAGTGATTCTCCTGCCTCAGCCTCCCGAGTAGCTGGGATTACAGGCGCCTGCCACTGTGCCCGGCTAATTTTTGTATTTTTAGTAAGAGATGGGGTTTCACCACGTAGGCTAGGCTGGCCCCAAACTCCTGACTTCATGATCCACCTGCCTTGGCCTCCCAAAGTCCTGGGATTACAGGCGTGAGCCACCGCGTCTGGCATGTGAGCCATCTTTCAGGAGAAATAAAGACCTACTGTAAGCATGGATGCAGGGGCAGGAGGGACTCTGATGGACCCTAGATGTTAGGTTCCACCAGGGCAAGAACTGGCAGCCAAGGCGGGTCCCTCTCTGCGTCCCTTCCTCTTGTTTGTGTTTCTCCTGCTCCCCCTCTGAGGTGGCATGGTGTGTCCCCTCTGATTCTCTGCCAGTTGGCTCCTGCTTTCCAGATGTGTGGACACAGCCACTCCAGGCAGCCCCAACACACCCAGCAGAGGTGAAATTGCTTCCTAAGTCTTGAGGTGGAACTCCCTGGGAGAGCAGCTGATGAGCCCAGCCATTCCAGGGCTCCCTCTGTCCACTGGCTGCCACACAGTGAGGCCTCAGGGGTGTGCGGGCAGAATGCTCGCAAGAGCCATGATGGGAGGCTGGGGAGAAAAGTTTGCTGAAGAAATTTTGGTTACCATTACGAGGCCAGCGAGGGAGCCTCTCTGGGAGCTGAGACCTGAGTCATGCATTCATTTATTCTGCAGATATTTATTAAGGTCCATGCCACATGCTTTGCTGCATGCTAGGGACACAACAGTAACTAAGACTCTTCTCCTGCCCTGTGGCACACGCAATCCAGTGAGGGCAGACAGTGAACTGACAACCATCCATGTTATGCACAATCACAAGTGCGACAAGCACCATGAAATGTGCAGGGTGCTAGTAGGACATAGAGCAGCAGCATGTGAACTTGTCTGGGACATCCGGAGCAGCTTTCCGGGAAGGGACAGCTAAGTTGAGATTGGGAGGAGTAAAGAGGGAAGGGAAGAGGGTCAATACTTAGGCATTAGCCTGTACGAAGGCCGTGGGGTGGGAAACAGCTGGGTGAATTGGAAAACATGAAAGAGGCCAGTGCAATTGGAAATAAAAAGGCCCTCAATGCGGGAGGCTGTAGCAGGTGCACCTTTATTACTCCCCTCATTCCCCACCTAGTGCTGCTATCGTCTCCTCTGTACCTGTGACATACAGGCTGTTTTCGGCTGCACTACAATAGAAAAACTCAAAAGAAGAGGTAAAAGTTAGGCTTCTGACTCATAAAAGTAGTCTGAGTCTGAAGGTAACCAGTTTAGACCATTCTGCAGGAAGCCCTTAGGGATCCAAGGGCCTTCCAGCTCTCTGTCATTTGAAGAAGTAACCTACGTCCTCATAACCCAGTGTGGCTGTGGGGCTCCTGCTATCATATCCAAGTTCCAGGCTGCAAGATGAAGAAAAGACTTGGAAGAGTACATGCTTGCTTCATATTTAATTTTTCAGAATTTATTCACATATTCTCATCTAGCTTCAGGGGAGGTGAGGCGAGGAAATAATTATTCTGATTGGCGAAACTCCCAGCTCAAAATTAGAGTGGTGTTACTAATGAAGAAGAGACTGGCTGTGGAGAGACACGGTTTCAGAAGTGCTTCTGAGCTGCTTGTGGTACTGACCTCAGCCCTGTCCTTCCTGCAGACCCTGCTGAAGGTTGTGTATGTGGAGAATGACATCCAGCACCTGCAGGACATGTCACACTTCCCAGACCGGGGGAGCGAGAATGGGACACCCATGGACGTGAAAGCCGGGGTGCGGGTCATGCAGGTCAGTCCTGACGGCCAGCATTTGGCTTCAGGCGACCGAAGTGGAAATCTGAGGCAAGTGGGTCCTGGCAGTGTCCAGCGTACACCTCCCAGCTCCAGCTCGGGTTCTCAGGGCGGTGAGCAGGAGCCCTGGCCTTGGCATTTCCTGCTGCCCATTGGGAATGAAGGGCTGTGAATAGCAATCTGGTAACCTGCCACCCTTGGGAACTTAAGCTCAGAAGGGGCTTCCAGAAGGGCTAGAGCAGGGTAGCTACCAGGACCTCAGCAGCTGAGATGTGCAGACTTTGCCTATAGAGTAAACAGGCAAGCTCATATGACTCTAGGGCAGAGTGACACTTTCACCAGCCACATAGTACCAGTGCTGAACTGCTCGTGAAGATGCCAGCTGGAAGAGGGTCCTGGTGGCCCTGAGAGAGGGGTCATCAGGGTGGGATATCTGAGAGTTCAGGCTGCTCATGCGCCCTGTCAAGGTTTGTCAAGGTGTTACCAACCCAGTAGGTGCTAGTGGGACATAGGCCCTGTCCCTAGGGCCAGGTTTAAGATGACAAATGACAGCTGTGACCACCTGGGTGTTGGAGCCACTGGAAATGGAAGAGAGTGGGGGGAACTAGAGGAGACATAAAGGGGCAGCAGCCACCAGGCAGTCCCAGGAGAGCAGTTTCCAAGTTATCACATCTTCCTGTTGTCAAGAAGAACAGAAAGTGCTGAATTTATTTTTCTGTGAAATTGTATAATTTTTAAATACTGGCATCTGTTTTGATACCACTCACTATGCGAGACCAGCTCTGTGTCAGTGGGCTCTTCACACTGACATGGCACTGTCCAGAGTGGCAAAACGGTACCAAGAGCTAACATGGGATAGCACTCTTCTCCCTTATTGAGCGCTGGCCTGAACACCGTGTTGACCAATTTAATCCTCTCACCGACCCTCTGATGTAAGTGACGTTATTGGCACCAAGTGTCTGGACCAAGATCACACAGGTAGAATGGAGAAGCTGGGTTGACCTGATGACTGATTTCATTTGGGGAAAATGAGGAAGGTCTGGATTTGATACTCTTTTAAGAATGAGAGACTGGAATCAAATGTTCTCATCCATAGCTCCTATGCTGGACTATGCCCTCCGGCCCCTAACCCCTGGCTCCTGCCCCACCCCAGGAAACACCTCTGATGCAGCCGTGTGTGTGTGCCTGCCCCTCTATAGGACTGTCCTAGGTCCCTGGGGCTATGTTCTGGCTCATGCACCACAAAGGGCTGCTGTCTGCTGAGGTGCCCCCTGGCTCAACATGGCTCCCTTTATGATGGCAGTTTTCTAAGTGAGAAAAGTGGGTGTGCATCTCTAGAGTGTTTGGCCATGATAAGGGGTTCTTATGTTGCTGGCCTGGCCATTCTGACCTTTCCTAGCAGTGGCAGAGCGCAAGGTGCTGGGGTGTGGGGGCGTTAGCAGGCAGTGTGTGTCTCCCAGGATCCACGAGCTGCACTTCATGGACGAGCTGGTCAAGGTGGAGGCCCATGATGCTGAGGTGCTGTGCCTGGAGTACTCTAAGCCGGAGACGGGTGAGCCCACAGCGGGGATGGAGTGGGGGTCAGGCAGGGAGGAGCCCCCTTGGCAGAGCCACAGAAAGGGGTAGCTGGTGTCTGGTGGGACTGTGGATGGCAGCTGGGAGTCTTGTGTTTGGTAAGGGCCCCTGTTGCTGGACCCCAAAACCAGAGCTGCTGGGACACAGCTTGACTTGCCCACTGCTGGTGCCAGCCCTCAAGCCGGTGAGGTAGATGTATGAATGAGTGAATTCTGAATGAGCTCATCCTCTGCTGGAGAAGATAGATTGCTTGATAGTCATTCTTTTCTTTTTCTTTCTTTTTTTTTTTTTTTTTGTTTGTTTTTATAAAATTTTTTGTATTTTTAGTGGAGATGGGGTTTCACCATGTTGGCCAGGCTGGTAGTGATTTTTTTTTTTTTTTGTTTGTTTTTATAAAATTTTTTGTATTTTTAGTGGAGATGGGGTTTCACCATGTTGGCCAGGCTGGTAGTGAACTCCTGACCTCAGGTGATCCACCCACCTCAGCCTCCCAAAGTGCTGGGATTACAAGTGTGAGCCACTGCACCCAGCCTAGGCATTATTTTCAAAAAATTTGAAGCCTATAGAAATATTGGGAGAATATTATAATGAACACCCACATGGGCTTCACCCAGATTCCTCAAGTTTTTGTTTTTGTTTTTGTTTTTGTTTTTGTTTTTGTTTTTGTTTTTGTTTTGAGATGGAGTCTCACTCTGTCACCCAGGCTAGAGGGCAGTGGCACCATCTCTGCTCACTGCAACCTCCACCTCCAGGATTCAAGTGATTCTCGTGCCTCAGCCTCCCAAGTAGATGAGATTACAGGCACCCACCACCATGCTTGGCCAATTTTTGTATTTTTAGTAGAGACGGGATTTCACCATGTTGGCCAGGCTGGTCGCAAACTTGAACTCAGGTGATCCATCCTCCCTGGCCTCCCAAAGTGCCAGGATTACAGGTGTGAGCCACTGTACCTGTTTTTTTGTTTTTTGTTTTTTGTTTGTTTGTTTGTATGTTTGTTTTAATGGGACAGAGTCTCACTCTGTCACCCAGGCTGGAGTATAATGGCACCATCTCGGCTCACTGCAACCTCTGCCTCCCGGGTTCAAGCTATTCTCCTGCCTCAGCCTCTCAAGAGTAGCTGGGATTACAGGCACCCCCACCACACCCAGCTAATTTTTGTATTTTTAGTAGAGACGGGGTTTTACCATGTTGTCTAGGCTGGTCTCAAACTCCTAACCTCAGGTGATTTGCCTGTCTTGACCTCCCAAAGTGCTGGGATTACATGGCATGAACCCCATGCCCGGCTCCTCAAGACTTTTTCTAGGCTGGGCACTATGCCTGTAATCCCAGCACTTTGGGAGTTATGGATTTGGTGGAATTAGGTCTTCATGTGATTTTCCCCATGCTCTTCTTTCATTCTCCCATGCCCCATGACCTGTGTCCCACCAACTTGTCTTTATACATCTCTTCATTTGGCTTGCCTCTCCTGATCTCCCCTCTGCCTTGGGTCATGTTGTTAAGCCTCAGGCCTAGCAAGTGACCAGAGTAGGGAAGGCTGGTGGCAGATGGGAGTCTGGCCACAGGCAGTCAGTAGAACCTGGACAAGGCCCAGGCAGCCAGACCTCAGAGGGTAAAAGGGCAGTGGTTTCAGGAGAGACTGAGAGGTTGCCAGGGATTTACCTGGTGTGCCAAGGAGTTGGACCCAGCAGGCAAGAGTGCTGGGCTCTGCTGGGGTGTCTGCTGTGACTGACCCTGGAGGAGTACCCATCGAGACTCGTCCTCCCTGAACTGGTGGTGAGGAGGTGAAATGTCAAGGTGTAGGGGCCCTGGGAAAGACCACACAGAGCTGAGGAAGTGGCTCTTGCCAGGCTTGGGCCAAGTTGGCCCCTTTCTCCAGGACTGGGCAGCTCGGTCACACTGCCCTTTGGGAGGCCAGGGCACCCAGGCAGCCTTCAGGAACCAATCTCATCCTCTCCTCTCACAGGGATGACCTTGCTGGCCTCAGCCAGTCGGGACCGGCTGATCCATGTGCTGAACGTGGAGAAGAACTACAACCTGGAGCAGACGCTGGATGACCACTCCTCCTCCATCACCGCCATCAAGTTTGCTGGTGAGCCCCTTCCTTCCTGCTCCCTGTGCCTCGCTAGCTACCCTGCTAAAAAAGGATTTGCTCTTTTAACTCCCCTGTCAAATATGTATCCAAACAAGTGAATACGGTGTCTGTATACAATATAAAGAATAATGACCTGGGCAGGGAACGGTGGCTCACGCCCGTAATCCCAGCACTTTGGGAGGCTGAGGAGGGTAGATCACCTGAGGTCAGGAATTCAGGACCAGCCTGGCCTACATGGTGAAACACCATTTTTATTGAAAATAAAAAATTAGCTGGACATGGTGGTGCACCTGTAATCCCAGCTACTTGGAAGGCTGAGGTGGGAGAATTGCTTGAAACTGGGAGGTGGAGACTGCAGCGGGTCACACTTCCTCCCCTATATGGGGCTTACTCCCTTCTGTGAGCCAATGACTCTCCTTGAGCAACATCTAATATTTGTATGTCAGGCCTGGACCCGCTCTTGAATATTCTGTCATGAAGCAGCATGTCTGATGTGATGAGACCCTAAGAGTTTTATATTTATTCTGCCTTTTCATGCTCACCAAACTCTTACTCTGTAAAGAAATGATAATAATAAAAGCAAGAATGCTTCTAGTACTTACCATGTTGCAGCCCCTATTCCAATGACTTCATACCACTGTCCAGGGAAGGGACTGTCACGACGCCCATTGTATGGACAAGAAGCTAAGGCTCAGAGGGGAGGGCCAGGTTTAGAGCTGTGTTTAACAGCTTTGACTCTAGCACCAGAGAATGCCTGAGTTCAGTCCTCCCCCTATCCTGTCTGTGTACCTTGGGACAAGGACTCTGTGAACCTCTGTGTTCATGCTTGTCCAGTGGAATCAGTGGTGAGCATTCAGGAAGATTAGGCCCATGCCCGGGGCCTGGCCTAAGGTTCGTGTGGATCTTGTAATTGATCTTGATGGCGTGAGCCTCCCAGCCTGTTTCCACTGGTCCCTGCTATAGTCCTGCCTCTACTCTGCTGCTGACGTCACCTATCTCAATCCCAGACTGGAGAACGTGTCCCTTCTTTGTCCCCAGCCTTTGTTTCCCTATATGTCCTTGCTCTGCAGAGCCAGCTTTGCCCACAGGTCCACCTGTGCTCCCTCACACACACAGCTTATATCTCACAGAGTCCCATCCAGACCCAACACCCACCTTACCTCCTCCAGGAAGCCTTCCTAGATCCCAGCACAATTGATTAAAGGCCCTTGCAGTGGAGGTCCCCAGCTAGGATCCCCTGCCCATGTGGCCCAGCCCTGCCTAACACACAGCCACTTCCTCCCCCAGGCAACAGAGACATCCAGATGATCAGCTGTGGGGCTGACAAGAGCATCTACTTTCGCAGCGCCCAGCGGGTAGGATGGCATGGCCTCCTTGGGGACTGGGGTGGGGAGTTATCAGGGCATTCTCTGAAGGTCCTGCCACCCTGCCAGGGTTCAGATGGACTACACTTTGTCCGTACCCACCACGTAGCAGAGAAAACCACCTTGTATGACATGGACATTGACATCACCCAGAAGTATGTGGCCGTGGCCTGCCAGGACCGCAATGTGAGGTGAGGGGTGGCCCTGGGCCCTTAGCTGGACTGGGCCAGGCTGCTTTCTGAATAGGGACCGGCCTGGTCTGCTTTGTCCTAGGCTGGCTGCTTTCCTCTCTCTGTTCCTCTGGTCTCCAACAAGCTGGGAGGGGATTGAGGGACCCAGTAGGTGTTTCTTGTTTCTTGTTTCTTTTTTTGTTTTGTTTTTTGTTTTGTTTTTTGTTTTGTTTTTTTGAGGCAGAGTCTCACTCTGTTGCCCAGGCTGGAGTGCAGTAGCGCCATCTTGGCTCACTGCAGCCTCCGCCTCCAAGGTTCATGTGATTCTCCTGCCTCAGCCTTCCAAGTAACTGGATTACAGATGCCCACCACCATGCCCGGCTAATTTTTTGTATTTTTAGTAGAGACGAGGTTTTGCCATGTTGGCCAGGCTGGTCTCAAACTCCTGACCTCAGGTGATCTGCCAACCTCAGGTGATCTGCCCGCCTCAGCCTCCCAAAGTGCTGGGATTACAGGCATGAGCTACTGTGCCAGGCCACTACCTAGTATTTCTTTGAAGGTGGGCTCTCCCAGGCCTGGTCTCCAGGTCAGCAGAGGGCTTCCTTCTAGCTCTCCCTAGAGCCAGTGTGAGATGACTGAGGTGCTGATGTGGCACATAAACTCTTGCATTCATCCGTATTCTCTGAGCGCCTAGCTGGGCTAGATGGTGCTGGGGTCATGGCATTGGCCAGGATAGCCCCAGGCCCTGGACTTCGCAGTCCAGTGGAGGGGACACGGCTACCTCACAGCCACAGACAGTGACAGGACAGAGTGGTCAGAGATGGTGGAGCCCAGGGGCCCTGGGGAGACGCCTGACCCCACCTGGGGATCAAGCAGGACTTCCTGGAGGAAGAGACATCTGAGCCTGGGGAGGATGTGGAGGAGCGAGCCAGGGGAAGGCAGAAGGTAAAGGAGTGCAAAGAGGCTCTGCACCTCCTTCCTGACTCCTTCTTATGGGGTGCTGGGCACTGAGCTTGCAGTTTGTAGGGGAGATGGGCATTAACTCAGCGAGTACCCCAGGACACAACTTAAGCTTGAGATGGGGTTTAAGTTTAGGCATCAGATGGGAACAGGAGGTAGCAGGGGGCTTCCAGGGGAGGGGAGAACAGCAGGAGCCAGAGGGTGAGGTGGTGCTGGGGGGAGGGTGGGACCCTGTTTGCCACAACATGCCCCTACTTCCCCAGAGTCTACAACACCGTGAACGGGAAGCAGAAGAAGTGCTACAAGGGCTCCCAGGGTGATGAAGGGTCCTTGCTGAAGGTGAGGATTTGGGGCCCCCTGTCTGCTGCCTTGATGGGCCACCTAGTGTCCTTGGTGCTTCCTCAGTGCACCACACTGGCCAGCACCTTCTCAGGCCTGGTTAAACAAGGATGCTTGTGAGGGGATGGGGAGAGTGATGACAGCTGCGTTTCCTTTATTTACTGAGACTTTACCCAAGTGGGGCATCTAAGTTGGTTCCATTTTGAGTAGCAGCAGAGTATGGTGGGAAGAATCAGAAGCATGGACTCCCCTCCTGGCTTGCCCACACCAGCCATGGATCACGCGGACCTTGTCGGAGCCTCTGGTCTAAGACAGTTGTTATGGGTTCAGGCTCTGCCTCAGGTTGACTGTGTGACCTTGGGCAAGCAGTATCTCTTTTTTTTTGTTTTGTTTTGTTTTGTTTTGTTTTGTTTTTGGGACGGAGTTTCGCTCTTGTTACCCAGGCTGGAGTGCAATGGCGCGATCTCGGCTCACCGCAACCTCCGCCTCCTGGGTTCAGGCAATTCTCCTGCCTCAGCCTCCTGAGTAGCTGGGATTACAGGCACGCGCCACCATGCCCAGCTAATTTTTTGTATTTTTAGTAGAGACGGGGTTTCACCGTGTTGACCAGGATGGTCTCGATCTCTTGACCTTGTGATCCACCCGCCTCGGCCTCCCAAAGTGCTGGGATTACAGGCTTGAGCCACCGCGCCCGGCCAAGCAGTATCTCTTGAGCCTGTTTTGTGCCCTGTAAAATGCACATAAAGACAGCTTGGCTCATGGACTTGTTCTCTGCAGGAGTTCATTTTGCACACATTCAGTGCTTAGCACAGGGCCTAGCTACTGTTGTTACTGCTGCAGTGGTGGCTAATTTCTTCACCTGCTGAATGGGAGCGGCAGCTCCTGCCCTGCCAGGGTTCCATGTGCTGTGCATCCAGCACAGGGGAGGAGGGTCCCAGGCCTCACCATAAGGAAGAAGCAGGCAGCTGGAGTAACATGTGGGTCCCTTTCCTGGCAGGTCCATGTGGATCCCTCAGGTACCTTCCTGGCTACTAGCTGCTCTGACAAAAGCATCTCAGTGATTGACTTTTACTCGGGCGAGTGCATTGCCAAGATGTTTGGCCATTCAGGTGGGTGTGCCACGCTGCTCGGGATGCCTGCCCACCCACCCACAGCCTCTGACTCTGAAGGCAAGTTCAGCCTCTCTGTTTTGTTTGCAGAAATTATTACCAGCATGAAGTTCACCTATGACTGTCATCACTTGATCACAGTATCCGGAGACAGGTGGGACAGGCCTGGAGGCTACCCCTGGCCAGGCCTCCCTCTGGGAGTGGGTGGGACATGGGCCATAGGAGAGTTGTGGCTCAGATACCATGACCACTGCACTCAGCCTGCCTGTGTAGAGAGCGTTTCTGAGCTGCCCAATTTGAATTGTGTGAGTTTTGGTGTCACACCCAGCTGCGAGTTCAGATCCCAGCTCTAGGCTGGTCATGATGGCTCATGCCTATAACCCTAGCACTTTGGGAGGCTGAGGCGGGTGGATCACTTGAGCTCAAGAGTTCGAGATCAGCCTGGGCAACATAGCAAAACACCATCTCTGCAAAAAAATTAGCCAGGTGTGGTGGCACATACCTGTAGTCCCAGCTACTCAGGAGGGGAGAGACATCCTAAGCCTCGTAGGTAGAGGTTGCAGTGAGCCCAGATTGTGCCAGTGCACCCCAACCTGGGTGACAGAGTGAGACCCTGTCTCAAAAAAAAGAAAAAATCTAGGCCAGGCATGGTGGCTCATGCCTGTAATCCCAGCACTTTGGGAGGCCGAGGCAGGCAGATCAGCTGAGTTCAGGAGTTGGAGACCAGCCTGACCAACATGGAGAAACCCTGTCTCTATTAAAAATACAAAATTAGCTGGGCATGGTGGCGCATGCCTGTAATCCCAGCTACTTGGGAGGCTGAGACAGGAGAATTGCTTAACCCAAGAGGCAGAGGTTGTGGTGAGCTGAGATTGTGCCATTGCACTCCAGCCTGGGCAAGAAGAGCGAAACTCCATCTCAAAAAAAAAAAAAAAAAAAAAAAAAAAAAAAAAAAAAAAAAAAAAAAAAAAAAAAAAAAAAAAACTAAACAAATTCCAGCTCTGTAACTTATTTTCTTGTCACCTTGAACAGGTTATTTCCCCTCTCTGAGCTTCAGTTTGCTCCTCTGTAAATGACAACATCATTTACCTTGAAAATTGTATGGTGAGGCCGGGCGTGATGGCTCATGCCTATAATCCCAGCACTTTGGGAGGCTGAGGCAGGTGAATCACCTGAGGTCAGGAGTTCCAGGCCAGCGTGGTCAACATGGAAAAACCCTGTTTCTACTAAAAATACAAAATTAGCTGTGTGTGGTGGTGCATGTGCCTGTAGTCTCAGCTACTCAGCGGGGGCTGAGGCACAAGAATGACTTGAACCTGGGAGGTAGAGGTTGCAGTGAGCCATGATTGCGCCTCTGCACTCTAGCCTAGGCGACTGAGCAAGACTCCATCTCAAAAAAA